AGTGTGAGAGCGCTGAAAACTGGCCTAGGCAGGAAGGTGTAAAATTGCCCGGTATTGAATTGGTTAAACACATGTAGATATTGCAGGGTGCTTGTGGTTAGTAAGAGTTTTGTTTCATTAGCCACCCCCAAGTTATGTTCCATTAAACAATATATAAATTGTGGCTCTACTTATGTTGTTTATCTTATTGAATGTACCAAAAACTGTGTAAAATGTAAACTGCAATATATTGTTAGCACCACACAAGCACTTCAGGAACATTATTGCGATAGTGGTAATTTACCTGTGTTACATCTTTTGTGTTGCATACATGTAAAGGGTTAACATCATATAGGTTTTAACTCTTTGTAGACTTTTCTTGATCCAGTGTGCTTCCTTTTTGTTATGTTTTACCAGTGTGTCTGTTTGTATAAAGTTTATTGAACTCATATGTTTTTAATTACACTCTTAATCAATGTGCACTATTTAAGCAGTGTTTTTAGAGTATGTGTTAGTAAGGAATAAGGCCAGTTTGGCTGAAATGCGTTAACAATTGTGGCTGCCATCTGCTACCCACCAATAAACAGACTGCAGAGTATACACCAAAGTGCCAGCTTTTATTTGCTTATACAGATATTGATTATTCCAGGATATAACAGGAGCGAACATCTGTGAAAATTTGTGAAACCACTCAGTTCTAATTTATGTACTCAAATCACCATGAATGTCAATTGTTGTCAAATTGCCCTGGGTAATGCACTGAGTAAAGATATGGGGTGATGGGTGATGCTTCCTTGTTTAGCAGTGATGGTATCTACTTAACATAGATCACCTCTTTCTGTTGAAGGCCTCTATGACCTGTCGCTCCTATGTTCTTCTTTCAGGCACCAGTACCATACAAAAAGTAAAACTGAAATGCAATAGCAACATTGACAGTTTCATACACATTGTTTATCTACTAAACACAGTTTAGATATGATCTGAGTAAAAAAAAAAGGTGTCAGCTGCCATTTATGGGTTGTGTATTGATCATAACAGCAAACCAAGACAAAGTTAAGTTTAAGCTTCATATACTACAATCCTGTTCTCTCCTCTCCCTAAACCATGCTAGAAATGGCTTTTTCAGTATAATCCTTTGTTTTATACAGTGGGATGTGGGTAACCTCTTTACCTCTGTAGCCTGGGTGCTTTATTGAGAAGATCCAGTGGAATATTGAAAAGTATTTTAGGTTCTATAGTGAGGCATAACATCTACTGCCGGCTGCTTTAGAGTAATTTGAAAAGTTTGTGAAAATCATCTTGAGTGAATTGATCAGATTTGTTGCGAATCATGATTTAGTGGATTTATTTGCTCATCAATAGTTGTGGTGAATGTATTTCCTAACATGCTTTTTTTATAGGCCCTATCCCTTCCCTTTTTTGGTTCCCAGTCTTTTATCACTGGCTCTCACTACTGGCCTTCCTAAGTCTAATTGCAACCCTATCATATTGTACTCTTCTCGCTTCTCCTAAAGCATGGCTGCACTCTTATTTCCCCGCCAAAATACACATGTACACACCACACCTCACCACATCCACTTTTTCAAGCTCCATTTTTTTTTTATTCTTAGGAGTCTTAGGAGAAGCATTTATTAAAAAAGGTATTACCAACCTGGGCAAATAAATTGAACACCATAAGAAGAATGTGAAAGCTGCATGTCAAAACGATCAGTAGACCCTGAGATATAGGCAACTGGGTATATATGAATGTTGACCAGTAAAAGTTTAGCTTATCCTAGCATTACCCAACCATTGTTGTCAGAACTGTGCAAATCTCAGGACTGAAGAAATATAACTCCTTTTGCAATCATCCTCTTCCAGATGCCTACAGTGGTCCTTTGAGTGGGTCTTAATGCCAGGAGGTGGGACAGACTTCTTTATCACGTGATTGGCTGCCACAGTGCCACATGATCGGGAGCCTACTTCACTGGCTCTGTTCATAAACAGAGAACAGATGCTATATCTGACAGCTCAGTCAACCTGCTGGGAGCATGCAGTGAGCATCTGTCCCCATAAATGCATATGTCTGGTTTGTGAGCATTAAAGCCTTCTCACCCTGCCACATATGCCATAAATGATAAGTGATTGGCAAGAAGAGTGGCTGGTTTAGAAAACACCCATATATCTATATCATGTACAGTGGGGATCGAAAGTTTGGGCACCCCAGCTAAAAATTTGTATTAATGTGCATAAAGAAGCCAAAGAAAGATGGAAAAATCTCCAAAAGGCATCAAATAACAGATTAGACATTCTTACAATATGTCAACAAAAGTTAGATTTTATTTCCATCATTTACACTTTCAAAATAACAGAAAACAAAAAAAAATGGTGTCTGCAAAAGTTTGGGCACCCTGCAGAATTTATAGCATGCACTGCCCCCTTTGCCATGCTGAGACCTGCCAGTGTCATGGATTGTTCTCAATCATCGTCTGGGAAGACCAGGTGATGTCAATCTCAAAGGTTTTAAATGCCCAGACTCATCTGACCTTGCCCCAACAATCAGCACCATGGGGTTCTTCTAAGCAGTTGTCTAGAAAACTGAAACTGAAAATAGTTGACGCTCACAAAGCTGGAGAAGGCTATAAGAAGATAGCAAAGCGTTTTCAGATGTCAATATCCTCTGTTCGGAATGTAATTAAGAAATGGCAGTCATCAGGAACAGTGGAAGTTAAAGCAAGATCTGGAAGACCAAGAAAAATATCAGACAGAACAGCTCGCAGGATTGTGAGAAAAACAATTCAAAACCCACGTTTGACTGCACGATCCCTCCAGAAAGATCTGGCAGACACTGGAGTTGTGGTACACTATTCCACTATAAAGAGATACTTGTACAAATATGGTCTTCATGGAAGAGTCATCAGAAGAAAACCTCTTCTATGTCCTCACCACAAAAATCATCGTTTGAACTTTGCAAATGAACATATAGACAAGCCTGATGCATTTTGGAAACAAGTTCTGTGGACCGATGAGGTTAAAATTTAACTTTTTGGCCGGAATGAGCAAAGGTTCGTTTGGAGAAGAAGGGGCACAGAATTTAATGAAAAGAACCTCTGTCCAACTGTTAAGCATGGGGTTGGATCAATCATTCTTTGGGGTTGTGTTGCAGCCAGTGGCACAGGGAACATCTCACGAGTAGAAGGAAAAATGGATTCAATAAAATTTCAGCAAATTTTGGATGGTAACTTGATGCCATCTGTGAAAAAGCTGAAGTTAAAGAGAGGATGGCTTCTACAAATGGATAATGATCCTAAACACACCTCGAAATCCACGGGGGATTACATCAAGAGGCATAAACTGAAGGTTTTGCCATGGCCTTCACAATCTCCTGACCTCAACATAATTGAAAATCTATGGATAGACCTTAAAAGAGCAGTGAGTGACAGACAGCCCAGAAATCTCAAAGAACTGGAAGACTTTTGTAAGGAAGAATGGGCAAAGATACCTCAAACAAGAACTGAAAGACTCTTGGCTGGCTACAAAAAGCGTTTACAAGCTGTGATACTTGCCAAAGGGGGCAGTACAAGATATTAACTCTGCAGGATGCCCAAACTTTTGCAGACACCATTTTTTTGTTTTCTGTTGTTTTGAAAGTGTAAATGATGGAAATAAAATCTAACTTTTGTTGACATATTATAAGAATGTCTAATCTGTAATTTGATGCCTTTTGGAGATTTTTCCATCTTTCCTTGGCTTCTTTATGCACATTAATACAAATTTTTAGCTGGGGTGCCCAAACTTTCGATCCCCACTGTATATAGCGGTTTACTTGGAGTTCAGCTTTAAGTAAACTTGGTGGCCTTTCTGACTTTAGCACAGTTAGCACTGTTTCCTGCATAGCATAAGCAGTTCACTGATTTACTTTTTTGTTGCCTGAAGCTCTTGAATTTGCTGTTCTGTATGTACTTTTTTATTACTACAGTAGATAAAAGGAGGATGAACTTTGCTGAACTTCCTTGAAAGAACCACCATTAGTACAGTAGCACTTCAGTGAAGCAGCATGATAAAAAGCTATCAAAATGCATTTTTAAGCTGCAGCAAAATTATGATTTGTATGCTGTAGAACACAACAATGACTAAGAATAAAGAACAGTGAATACAAATCAGTGTAGCAAACTCTTCAAAGTAACCAACGTGTCTAACTATAAGATCAAACAGCTAAGTTTCCAGACGAAAAAGTAATGTATAAGGTATTTTGAAAGTTTAGCTAAAATGAATTATTTTTGATCTTGTGTATGGATATTATATTTTCAATCTAACCATGAATGTTGTTAGGGTTCAGCTTCAAAAAGTGAGCATGTAAAACCCACTGACCGGACTGCCATTTCTGTGCTGTCACATCTACTTTTATTTATCCCAGAACACAAAACATACATTCTCTTATGCAGGGGTGAATCCAGCAAACAAATAAAGAATAAAAGATTTTGCCATTTATTGACAACCAGCTTTATCTCTTTTTCTTGGCCTCCCAGATGCACCTGATCTTAAAGACCGCCTGACTTCCAGACCAGATACATTTCGGTTTGGAGGGTTGCCAAGGGGACTGCCCTTTCTCTCCCTAGCCAAATTTCTCAGCCCTAAAATGAATTTCTGTCAAAGTCCAACTCCCTGTGAAGACTATAAGAAATTGCAACAGCAATGGTAAACATTATGCAGCATCACTGACCATCTACCGGACCACCCAGGGGTGTTTGTCATAATGTACATATTTGCTGGTATTGGTTAAAAACAAAATGTTTTATTTTTGCACAAAATGTGATAATGGTTACAATATATCCGGCAACACCTTGACATGCTACATGTTTTTGTGGCATTGGCGCAGTAATGGCTTCTTTCTGGCAACTTGGCCATGCAGGCAATTTTTGTTCAAGTATTGTCATATTGTGCTCCTAAAAAAAACAAAATGTCTTTTTTCCAAAGCAGCCTGTATTTCTTCTGAGGTTACCTGTGGGGTTTTCTTTGTTTCCAGAATACTTATTCTAGAAATTGTGGCTGCAGTCTTTCTTGGGCTACCTGACCTTGGCTTGATATCAAGAGATCCCATGTCAGAGTCCTGTCCACGGCAGAAGATCTGAAAGATCTGGCATTTCTGCCAGTACTCTGCATGGCCTCAGGAGTATACATTAGCCTCAGTTTGGTGCCAGACGGCCTTTATAAGGAGGCTCATCACTTCTTCAAGTTCCTGAATGATCTCTAGCTCCCCGTGCCCTGTTCCTATTTCCTGTGATTCCCATCTGTGATTTCCTGTTACCGACTCGGCTTGCTCCTGGACCTGTCTACTCTGATTTACCCCTGATCCGACCTCGGCTTAGCTTATGGATACTCTTTCTCTGACTCCTCTGTGTATGACCTCGGCTATCCCATCTGACTACGTCTGCTCTGATTCCTACCTGGTACCTGACCTTGGCTTGAACCGACTACCCAGTAAACATCTAATCCCGGAAGGCGCCTCCTGTCTGCAGACCTATCTCCGTGCACCAGCTGTGCTTCTGAGTGGACAACCAGCCAGCACTCCTACAGGCGACCTTTGCAACTTTGGGCCAGACTCCCGCTGTCCCACTCTCAGGGGAGTCCTGAACTTAACCGCAAGGGAAGCCCTCTCTGCATTGGCCTTCATCACCAGGTACGTGATATCCCAGAACTTTCCACTTAATAAATGACTGAACAGTACTGACTAGCACATTCAAGGCTTTGGATATCTTTTTACACACTTTTCCTAAAGCTCAATTACCTTGTTACACAGGTCTTTTGATAGTTCCTCTCTGTTCCCCATTGCTCAGTATCTAGCCTGCTCAGTGAATCCATGTGAGAGCTATCAAACTCACTGACTATTTATAAACAGGCACTAATTACTATTTAAAAAGTCCCAAATAATGTAAATTAACCTTTAATTTCCATTTAACCTGTGTGTGTCACCTTGTGTGTCTGTACCAAAGCCAAACATTCCAGGGTATGGGAACTTTTGATTTGGGATATTTGGGTGGTTTCTGTTATTAATATGATTTAAAAAGGACAAACAACTATGTAGTAATAAATGATTTCATATGATCACAATCCTTAAATAAAAAAAAAATTTGGGCAGATCAGTCAAATTTTTGATATAACGTCTGGCTGCAGAAACTGGAGGTTTAAGCAGCCACATTTGGCCATTTAGTTTGCCCATTCAGCTAACCTCGAACAGTTAGAGTTTGGGTCGAACTCACTATTGGCCCAAATCCAAATCTGATTCCTAGTGGTAACAAGTAAGAGTGACTACCTATGTTAGCAAAGTCAAGGAGTTGTATATTCAGACACCTTGAAAATGTTTGTGCCATTACTGATGGAACACATTGGTGGAGGAACCAAACTGCAGCCCCAGCTTCTGCATCCCTTTATACCAGGCTCCATAATGTCACTCTTGTGAGTCTTGGTGGGTGTGCTTAAACTGACACCTGAAGCAGCAAGGATGTCATCAACAAGTTTTTCAGTTACAGGTGACAGAGTGAATTTGCATTAGATGTTGTTTTACCTGCTGTTTATCATAGTGCTGTGTGGCAGTTTTTTTAATTTGAGTGCATTTGGATTCTTTGGTTTTATTCTGCTGGTGATATTATTAAATACTACACTATCATACATGTTCATATCTGTCTTCCTTTGATGAGCTTGGGTTGCTGACAATAACCTTGGTATTTCAGAGTAGATATCCCATTGTGATGTTTTAAACATTAAATACTGTGTGACTTCTTGCCTCCTGAGGTCTTTTGGTCTGGTGAGAACATATTGCTCGCAGGTGGTGAAGAAGCATAGCGGTATTTTTTCAGCCATACCATATTAATTTCCTACTGCAGCGCTCTCCTTTTACTGTATTGGTTTGTTGGGATTCTTCCTTAAAACTTTACTGGCAATACTATTAAATGCTAAACTAATAGTCTTTTTTTATGTCTTTTTACCTTTGTTGGGCTTCAGTTACAGACTTTGCTGATGGTGCTTTGGAGAAGGTATCCTGCCATTATGTTTAAAACATTAAGTGCTGCTTGACTTCCTTCTTTCTGAGGTCTTTTGATTTGAGGATCTTACGGCAATGGTCTATACTTAAATTATATTGTTTGGTGAAACACAGTTATATCCACATATTTCAGACAATCGTTTCACTATGTTTAAAATAATGAATTTGTTTTAAAAGCATTGTGGGCGGGTTGAAAATGCAGCATGCAGTTTTTAAATGCTGCACAACACCTCACATCGCATCACAACACATTGCAACTCATGTTATGAAAAGAAAATGAATGTATTTTGGATCCTGCTGTGAATAAAAGAAAAGCACATCAATGCAATTCCAATGTGTTATAAATTTAAATGTAATAGATTTGGTGTAAATCCAGCTTAACCCAAAAGCAGGAGGTGTAGAACCCTTCTTCATTTTCCTGCTGTGTTTCACCATCATCATGTCCTCCTGATATGGTCTTCTGCTTACTGAAATGTTGGGCGAGATGTCTCAGCAGAGACAACATGTGTGTGTGTGTGGTACTCCTTTCCTACCCTAATTTTCCAGTTAAAAAGAGACTTGAAGTACTGACTCCATAGGGTACTTTTAAAGGGCAAATAAGCAAAGCAACCGACAAAGTTAGACTTATGATATTTCTTGGGAATTTGGGGCAAATAAGTGTCAGGAAATGTGCATGTTGGGAACAAGTATTATGTTGCTAATGGTAATATTATTTTGGTGCTGTACTTGGGGAATAATATTTTTGTAGATTGAGGGGAATTTTAAGGTTATGGTAATGGGAAATATTATTAGGGTGCTAGTATAAAAATAATACACTGTATTTTATGATGCTGCTGGTGCTGTGAGATACAATTATGATGTTGAATGACTTTGTTATGGTTCTGGGGGTTAAATTAATATTGCTGGGGGATAATAGTATGGTGCTGAGAGATTATATCTTTTTGCTGGGAATGTTATTATGGTGCCGATGGTGAGATATTTTATTACAGTGGAGACGGTTGTTATCATTCTGGTATAATGCTGTGTTACCTCTTCTGCCTATTGTTCTCTCCCTTGTTTTCCAACAGAAACATTAATTTAGTACCTTTATAAACAGTAAAAAAATACAGAATAATATTTGTGCTTTGGAAAGTGAAGTTTGAGGAGTTTCAAGCTACCTTACCTATCAGACAAAATTAAACATTTCTAGCTATTGCTTGGTTTCCTTTTATTGTGGCCATTATGACTAAATTACACTGGTTTAACCACAAAACAAGTTAAAATTGTACCATAAAAATAAGAAAGTTATTATGCAAACTTTAACAGAGATATTAGAGCACATCTTCACAGCTAACCACCATCGTTATTTGTGTTTAAAAGACAATTGTAAATGGTAGTCAGTGTAATAAGCGTGCACACAGTGAAGGACGCAGCCTCCATTTTGTTTAAGAAATCTCCCCTCATTCTCCCCCCCTTGCTCTCTGTTCATACACATTGACATATGGCCTGTGTGTTAAAAAGTGTCACAGGCCAGAGCACAGCAGGGAACCCCAGAGCTATAAAACATTTCTGAGCGAAATGCCGGGTTGTCTACCAGAGCTGTACAATTTAGCACCTCGTAAAAAGATAACGCAGGCTTCCCAGGAGTTCAAGGCATTCCAGAGAAGCAGGAAACCAGATAACCTTTTTAAAAATCAATTTTTTCTCTATGTCTCATATCTTAGAGTATGAGAGACTTACATAAAAACCAGGCATATCTTCAGATTGGCCACGAGGAGACAAACAGTTTGGTAGGTCACACTCCCTGACTGGAATACATAGGAACGCAGAAAAGTAGATCTCGTGAACCATTCAAATATGTATTTCATATTTCATATCTACCCGCTCCTCTGAGGCAGCTGCATAATAATCTACCCGCGGGTGGAATGTCACTTGTGCATAGGAAAAGTTATGAGCAAAATATGAGTTATGAGAGATTTTGGCCATAGTTTAGGCCTCCGCCCGACAATCCCTCCCTAAATGGGGCATCGGCCCTTGACTTCAGAGACACCCCCTGCTAGTGAACTACAAAATAGGCTGTCAGGCCTAAGGAAGTTAAGTTGAAGAATTCTCCCGTTGACCATCGAAACAGAGGGAGATCAAGCACCCTTTTGCTTTGAAACTTGATCTGCTAACCCAGGACTTTGGCAAGTACTTTAACCATGTAACCTCCTTTCTATTATCTCTTTGCTGTTTTGCTTTTTTCTGTAAATATTTTTATTGCACCCTTTTTGACCGTAATAAATAAATAAATTTCCTTCTGAAAGTGTTGAACTGTTTCTATAGCTCTTAATTGCAATTTACGAATTCCTGCCTCTAAAAAGAGCGCTGCTGTGTTTGTTTAACCCTCTGTATAACTGGCCTGCGGTGACCGTGTTAGGCAGATGATTATCTCAATCATTATAGTGTTATTGCTGGTATAGCCGAGTTTCCTCTTTCTCTGTACAAAAAGGAGGTGGTGGCAGCGTGAAGGGTTAATTAATTAACCTGACCCAGTAACAATCCCTCAGGTACATAGATTGTGGTCCAATTAGCTGGAAAATCGTTGTGCAGGGTGCAGCTGGGTGTGGCATTGTTACGCATGTGACATCGCAGTTTTAGATTGGCTAGTCCTTTGGTCACGAGTTTAGTGAGAAGGGCTGGGGTCTGACGCCGCGCTTGTCACATATTGATGACAGCGATCGTGGGATCGTCGCATATTGGTGGCAGCGATCACGCATCTGTCACATATTGGCTGGCAGCGTACGTGGGATAGTTGCATTAAGAGCTTCAGTGCAGTGTTAAAAATTGGCTCTGCTCTGAAAGATTGTAACCTTTGTAGAAAACAGTCCCTAGAAACAAGCGGTGCATATTTTATATATATATATTTATATATATATATATATATAAATATATATAGAGGGAGAGAGAGAGACACACACATAGCAACAGCTCCTTCCTTTTTCTACTTTCTATTCTATCTTTGCTTGCAATTATGCCTGGTGACGCAGAATACAAGAAAATGAGCACAAGTGATTTAAGTGCTGAGAGAGAAGCTGCAGAACGCCAGGCAGCGGCGGCCAGAGAGGCTGTGGAACACCAGGCAGCGGCAGACTGAGCAGAACACCAGGCAGCGGCTGAAGGAGAAGCTGTGGAACGCCAGGCAGCGGCGGCCAGAGAGGCTGTGGAGCGCCAGACAGCGGCGGACAGAATGGAACGCCAGGCAGCGGCTGAGAGAGAGGCGGTGCAGAGGGAAGCTGATCGTCGAATGAACTGGAGATGGCGAGGCTCCAGCAGCAACAGGTTCAGAGCCTTGTGTCCTTAGAGCACAAGGACGCCTCTCTGACCGTGGGCCCAGCAGCCAAATTTCCAGCAATGAAACAAGACAGTGACATTGACACGTATCTACTGTCATTTGAAAAAAACTTGCCCTCAGTACCAGCTGCCCCAAACTCAATGGGCTCGGTACCTGAGGCCAGGGCTACGAGGCAAGGCCTTGGATGTGTATATCTAGTTGCCAGTGGAGCAGGATGACAATTACAAAGCTCTAAAAGAAGCCATTGTCCGGGAGTACCAGATGACCCGGGAAGTGTACTGCAAGCGGTTTAGATCCTCGCAAAAGAGACCTGAGGACTCTTACATGGATATGGTAGATCGCTTACGCTCCACATTCC